ATTTAAGGCTTCAGGGATTTTTCTAGAATTTTCTAGAATTTTTCGGTAATTTTATGCATTTTCCGGCGAGGTTCCGGCGAGATTTCCGGTCGCCGGCAGCGGGGAAGAAGACCGGAGCAATCCGGTGTGTTGCGGCGCAAGGTAACCTGTGTGCGCATGGATCCATGACCGATTGATGGGAAATTGATTAAAAGATGGATTCGGTGTAGCGCGGAACACCATATGATGGTGCGCGCTAATCATCAGCCGCAGGATGAAAGGAGCATAGGTGGATTGATCCGGTGTGGCGCGCATGTAGGAAAGATGATGCAGTCAACCAACCGGAGGACGCCGCGTCAGCAAGAAGCTATCAACGCGCGCAAAAGAGCGCGTGCGCGCGCGTGGAACTCTCCAGACGCTCGTGGAAGCGCGTGCAAGCGCGTGGGAGAGTGGGGAAGGTTGGGCTGCGCGTGGGGAAGCTTAGGGCGGCGCGTGGGGGCGCGTGAGGGGCCCTGTCAGCTGCTGGAAATTACCAGAATACCCCTAGGGCCTGTTTTGTAAATTCCAGAACCTTAAACTTGGATTTTTAGGTACTGTGTTGGTAATTACGGGTTTAACGGGCCACAAAATTATTATTTTAATACCCGTTACTTATTCTTATGGCAGATTATTCTTTTCTAAGCATGTCTTAGCTCGTTTACAGTACGGATATTAATGTGATTTATTTAACGACATTGTTAAATATAAATAGTGTTATTATCTTATTAAATGGTATCAAACATTACTGTTAAATTAAATAATGCCATGGTTTTAGTCATATAAATTACCCATGATATCTGATGGGATGTTTATACTGTTAAAATGATATATAAACCATGATTATTATGCTGTGTGCATTTCAGGAAATAAATGGACTGTTTAATTATGTCGCATTTATATTATATGGATGTGTTGCCATATAGAACCATGTGAGCTGACTAATAAGTTTAGACTCATTTATACCTTATGCATTCGTTGCTATAGACAGATGTGTGGCTGTCAGGGTATGTGGTTTAATATTATTGGCATGTGTTGCCTAATTGACATGCTCAGTATGTTTAGTAATATTATTGGCATGTGTATATTCATCAGTACTTTGAGAGGTGTTATCACTGTGTAGTTCGTTATAGTTAGTGTTGTCAGTACCGTGCACCATGTATAATAGCTGATTTCCCGGGTAGGGAAAGGCGACACTTAACCACCTAGTGTGAGTCTAAGTGATCACCGTCTATTCTGGTTAAGGTCATGTTATACATTGGGCAGTTCCCTTAGGATGTATACAGATATAGTACTCGTCCGATTCATAATGATTAATTTATTTGATTCTCTGATTTGGGTCATAGTAGAGAGGACTTGCTCGTGGGGTTGACCCACCATTGTTGTTATTTCAGGATACGGTCAGTACCCGTTCCAAGGTTGAGGTTAGCAGTGAGGGACCACCATCCGAACTCATCTACTCTTACGATCCAGTTCAGGGTAGAAGTTTTATGTATTACTTCAGTTTCAGTTTTTATTTACTTTTGACGTTGAACTCTCAGGTTTATATTTAGGGATCCTTGACATAGGATTTCCAAGTTATAATGGAGTACTGTATTAAATAAAGGATGGATGGATGTTTTATTATTTAGTGTTCCTTTCCTGTCTAAATTCTTTTATTATCATCATTTTGTATTCCATGCTTGTATATTGCCAATTGTTTTTGATATCCTTCGTTTTTCGTGTATAAGCCTGATCAACTTATGCGTGGAAAATGTTGAGGGTGTCACATATGCCAACAAGAAGTAATAGAAAATTAAAACTAGAGAGTTCGATAGTCAGTATGCATTTTAGCACTTACAACGCATATAAGGTCAAGGATTTTTTTAATTTATTTTTATTTTTATTTTTATTTCTTTGTGCAGGAAAGCTAGCAGTTATAATTGGGTCTTGTACAGATATTTTGCAAAGTAATATCACAGGACACTCACGATTTCTCCTGTTCTCATTTCTCTTTTCTGTTTTCAAAGCCTAATTCGCAGATGATGTCGTCTCACAGGAACCCTAATTAAAGCAAAAGACCTAATTCCCATCTGATTAATTACCACTCTTAACGCCCCAATTCATATACATTGTACTGAAACCACTTTACACACGAATTCTTTTAATTTGTAAAGTTTTTAATTTAGATATAACCTTTCTGCATATAAGTATATATACTGTAACTAATTGACTACACATACACACACACACAATCTTATTATCAAACAAGATGGCAATAATAACACATTAAGAAAAATAAAAAGAAAGTAAAATGGAGGAAAAAACTTACGTAGTTCTGTTTAGCTATCTCGCTTACCCATCCAGTTTCTTCCTTAAAATGCGTGTCCTTGTACATGCGAATAGCGGGACCTTCCTCAGGACTTTCAACTTCCTCATCTTCTTCGTTTTGCCTTTCTTGCCTTTCTTGACTTTCTTTCAACTGCAACACAAAATATGATTTAGATGGATAATAAATTGAAATTTTATAATAATTATAATAAATATTACGTACATAAACATTATAGCGTCTGGCGAAAGACATCGATCCAGAAACATGAGGAATCTTATTCTTCGAACGGTTGCCTTTATTTCTATCACTTATTTTCTACATAGCAATTCAAACAATAATACAAGTTAAGAAACCTAAATAGCTAGTCAATCAATGCATCATAATCAATGATTTCAAGTAATTTAAAGCAAGTGGTTAAAAATCCGAACTTGAAATTCTGGTGACGTCCACCAATCGCACATTTTTCCCCAAACATCAATATCAATAATACCATAAGGATGCAAGCGTGCATTCTCAATTGGAAGATGCTTGTCAAAATGATTCTTCAATTTATATCTATATTTCCTCAAGCGTTCGGACATTTCCTTAGTTACTCGCTTGAAATCAGTTTCATTGTCATGTGCATCCACTCCAAAGGTCACCTTTATAATGGACATTTAATTTAAGTTAAAAAGAACACAATAATTCACAAAACAAATAGCATTGAAAATATGAAAAATAACTAACAAGTCAACAAAACAAGTATTTTAAGAGAGTGGTATCTCACTTTCTTAAACTAGAGTTCTTCCCTGAACCCCTCATATATGTGATTGATATCTTTATTTTATATTGTGTAACAGTAAAGAACCCTTATGATTTTATTTTGATTGAATTGAGGGTAAATTTACTAAAAGATTGGTTCAGGAACTCTGCCAGTGAGAGATGGAAGAGCTAGAATATAGATAGAGAGAGAGAAAGAGAGAGAGAGAAGGGAAATTAAGTCCTATAGGCTAGTATGTATGCATATGTAGATATATAGAGAGAGAGCTTAAGTCCTCAAGGGTAGGTTGTTACACACTTATGTTATGAACAAATAGTAAAAAGAAAAATAGTGACTGGTCCAGTTTAGAAGCAATTTTATCCTATCTGCTTCCAATTCCGTGTCTCAGCCCACCACCATTTTCTTTCTTTTATTACTGTATTATTGTTTGAGAATCTTGTTTAAATGCATCATGTGTTTTTGTATCCTTGTGGTACTAAACTTCAGCTTGACTAAAATACCCTAAAGGGTTGTTACACAATTGTGTTATTGAACAAATAGTAGAAAGAAAAATAGTGACTGGTCCAATTTAGAAGCAGTTTTATCCTATCTGCTTCCAATTCCGTGTCTCAGCCCACCACCATTTTCTTTCTTTTATTACTGTATTATTATTTGAGAATCTTGTTTAAATGCATCAAGTGTTTTTGTATCCTTGTGGTACCAAACTTCAGCTTGACTAAAATACCGTAAAGGGTTGTTACACACTTGTGTTATTGAACAAATAGTAGAAAGAAAAATAGTGATTAATGTTACTGATTGCAACCTTAGAAGTAGCAAAATGGGCGTTCATTCCAAATTAGATTTTCTCTTCAATTAAACAGAGGGTGAATATGCAATTTAGGAAATTCCAATTCCAGATTTATGTTTAAAAGAAGAAAAAAAAAAAAAAAAAAAAAACTCCTAAAATCAAATACCCATTAATTCCACTTTGTGACATGTAATGGAGATTTTCTCCTCTTGTAATTGTTCCTCTTTTGAATATTTATAAAAAACAAATACCCATTCAAGAAAAAAAAAAAAAAGAAAGATATAGAATATAAAAGAACTCATTACCTTAAAATGGTCATAGCAGACCTGTCTCTCATAATCTGGAATTTCCCTCCACGTTTTATATTTCAATAATGCTTCTTTATCTCTCGCATGGATGCCAACCTCAGCCGTCCATAAATTGTGATTTTTGCCAACGGGTTTAATATAACCCGTCCCAAACTCTACCGGAATTGGAACATCCTTTCCATAGAGGTCCTGAGCTTTGTGTAGGGCTATATTCTTTGCTTTTCCACGCCCTTTTCGTACTGGGCCTGAAAAAAAAAATTATCTATTTAATTAAAACATAGTCATTCTACAAAAATGTTGTAGTTAATTTATGATGAAGCATAATTATCACCTCCATTTGGTTGTGGCCTCGTCTGCAAAGTATTACCATCACCTTCCATAATAGGCTGTTGACTTATTGAATTACTACCATCAGCTTCTCCACTCGGTTGTGTGGCGGCTGAACTTGTAGATGGTGTCTCAGTTCGAGTTTGAGTCACGCTGGACCTTAATATTCTACGCATTGGTGCCTCAGAAGTGTCCATAATTCTGTTTACAAGCTGATATGAAGAATCAAGTAATATTAAATCAAAATAAACAAGCATATGCATAATACATTCTGAGTCATTATTTGATATTGGCTACTTCAGAACATAAACAGAAAATAAATCAAGTGATCTAAGATTAGTTTAAATAAATCAGAAAAATAATGAAGCCCACAACCAAACTAAAAGATAAATATATTGAAAAAGAGAAGGAACTCAATTCTAGATAAAGTTCACATAATGTATTAATCATAATTCCAAAAAAAATACAGCACATGCGTAACAATACAAAGCTTCATATGTCATCCAAATCAGTATCATCTTCGGACAACAGTTCTGGTTCCTCATCTGAATTATACTGAACGTCATCTCTATCATCATCCTCGTCAACCCAAAAGTCGTCATTAATTGCTGCTTCACCACTACATTTTTCAATCACTTCAGCATTAAGGGTTTCACCCTCTAAATCGTCCCTGTTCAAAGAGAGTAGATCCATGTCCAAGTCCACTTCAACAATCCTATCCATAATGCTTGGTTCATTCTCTTGGTACGCTGCAGTGTTAAGCATTTCATCCTCTACTACTACTTCACCCTCTTTTTCAGGTACATCAAATGAGCTTCTATTTGTTATATCTTGAACTACTTCCCATGTCCCTTGAAATTTGTTGTCTTTGACATAGAAGCATTGTTTTGCTTGATTTGCTAACACAAATGGCTCATTTTTGTAAGCTCTACTGGCTACATTTACGCTTTTAAAATAGGTATCCTTATGTATAGCAATCCTAACATCAAACCAATCACATTTGAAAAGGAAGATTTGTCTACCCAGTGGATATCGTAACTCAATGATATCTGTTAGTTTACCGTAGTAATCTTCACATTCTCCTTTCACTAACACACCACAATTCTGCGTTCGTCGGTTTTGTTCCCTTTCCTTAGTATGGAATCTAATCCCATCTACAATACAAGCAGAATATCAACTTACTAGAGATCCAGGTCCACACGCTAGAGAATACAAATCATCACAAGTTTTTTCCTTTTGATGATGACGCATTTTCAAGATCTATTGAAAAAATTGTAGTGTTAAATAAATGATGACACATCATTTTCATTAAATAAAAGAATTTGATTAATTAAGTCCAATTTATACATGATGAACTTACTTGTGTTTCGAACCATCTAGAAAATTCTTTTGCATGTCTTTGAGGAACATTTCGCAGATCTTGTCTTTCAAATTCCACCTTGTGTTTCCTAAATAATTAGATGGTGTTAAGATAAAATTGTGTACATGTATTAAAAAGACTATATATTCACATAGGCTGACATGATATGACATGTAATAAGTTACTTACTCTTCGTATGACTCAACTACTCCAGAATTTTGTAACACGTACAATCGAGCCATTTCCATGTCCTCACGAGACAATATCTCCAAACTTTGCGCCCCTAGAGGTCGAACTACTTGCTTTAGATCTGAAATAGTGGTCCAATTATTGTTGCAATCCCCCTCATTATTTCTTTCTTCTCGATTGAACCGTGTCTCAATCCCTCCGAGAAATTTTGAACAAAATGTCAAGCATTCATTATCTAAGTAAGCTTCAGCAATGGACCCTTCAGGACGTGCTTTGTTACGCACGTACAGTTTGAGGGTATGCAAAAATCTACATAACCATTAAAACTATTACAAATATTAAATCTAACAGACCATTAGAACTTGTCATAAAAATAATGTTTGTGTATTAAAAAAAGTACAGTACCTTTCAATGGGGTACATCCATCGATATTGTGCGGGGCCAGCAATAATGGCTTCACGCGGCAAATGCAGAGCCAAGTGCACCATAATGTCAAAAAATGACGGAGGAAATATCATCTCCAACTTGCATAGTATAATAGCAATGTCCCTTTCCATTGCCTCTAAGACATCCATTTTAACAGTTCGACAACACAATTCCTTGAAGAATAAACCAAGCTCTGCTATTGCGTTACAAATATCCGAATCTAAGAATCCTCGTATAGCTATGAGGAGGAAGCACTGTAAGAGAACGTGTGAATCATGACTTTTCAATCCAGATATCTTACAATTATTAACATTCACACACCGACTTATGTTCGAGGCATAGCCATCTGGGAACTTAACTGATTTTAGCCATTCACACAATTGCTTTTTATCATTCTTTGACAATGTGTAGCGCGCTCGTGGCATCTCAAATTTTTCACCATTACGCTTGAGGTGCAGTTCTTTTCTAATCTTCATTGCTTCTAAATCCAACCGACTTTTGAATGTATCCTTCGTTTTACCTTCAATGTCCAATAATGTCCCCAACACATTATCGCATATGTTTTTCTCTATATGCATAATGTCTAGGTTGTGCCGCAACAAAAAGGTTTGCCAATAAGGTAGTTCAAAGAAAATACTCTTCTTTGTCCAGTTAAGTTCAAAATTTTCACGAGTTCGCTTTTTGTTATTTGGTCCCTTTCCGAAACTAACCTCGGGTATGCGGTTAAGTTGTTCCAGAATATCATCACCTGTCAACTGCTTTGGTGGCCCTTTATCTTGCTTCTCACCATTAAACTGCTTGTACCGCTTCCTAAAAACATGATCTAGTGACAAAAACATACGACTTCCCAAATAACACAACTTCCGTCCGTGTTTCAAATAACAAGAACATGTTTCTTTGTTACAATTTGGACATGCTAGATAACCCTTTGTCATCCATCTAGAAGCCATCGCATAGGCAGGAAAGTCAGTAATGGTCCAAATCATTGTCGCATGCATTTTAAAGTTACATTTACTGTAGGCATCATACGTCGTCACACCATCCCTCTACAATTCTTTTAACTCTTCAACTAAAAGCCGTAGGTACACATCAATATCATTACCAGGCAAGGTTGGACCAGGAATAAGCAACGACATGAACACATACGGTTCTTTCATACATATCCAAGGTGGCAAATTATAAGGCACAATCATCACAGGCCACATACTATAGGAATTGCTCATGTTACCAAATGGATTGAATCCATCAGTTGCTAATCCAACACGAACATTACGAGGATCAGCAGCAAACCAACTATGCTTATTATCAAAATCCTCCCAAGCTTTTGAATCAGCCGGATGTCTTAACTCATTTGTCTCCTTCACACGTTTCTCCTTATGCCACCGCATATCTAAGGCTGTATCCTTCGACATAAATAACCGTTGAAGTTTTGATTTCAAAGGGAAGTACCGAAGAACTTTTTGAGGGATTTTCTTACCCTTACCTTTGTGAGGTTTATACCTCGACTCACCACATTGTGGACAATTTTCCTTACCTACATTCTCTTTCCAGAATAGAACACAATCATGTTTACATGCATGGATACACTCATATTCGAGACCCAAATCTCGCAACAAGCTTTTAGTCTCATAGTGAGACTTTGGTAACACATTGTTGTCAGGAAGCATCTCCTTAAATGCCATAAGCATCATGTCAAATGATTTATTGCTCATTTGAGTCATAACCTTCACATGGAATAACTTTAATATCGCTGACAACTTCGAGAATTTTTGACAACCTGGCCACAATTCACACTGTGCATCATTTAACAATCTAGCAAAATTTCCTCCTCCCACATCAACTTCAGGCGAATCTTCTTGTTGTTGTGCATTATTGAAGTTTCCCATTTGTACGTTATCCAACAACTCAAATACATTATCTACATTTCCATCTTCATCATGGGCACTTTTCCCACTAACATTAGCATCAATATTAACATTATTGTTGGCTTGAGGAACCTCCCCGTGATATATCCAATTGGTATACCCCTTGTCCATCCTATTACTCAAGAGATGTTGCTTAACTTGTTTAATTTCAAGATATTCCTTATCTTTGCAACGACGACATGGACATCGGGTAATACCGCCTATCTGTAAATGACGACTAGCCACCTTAATGAAGTTTTCTATGCCATCAAAATAGGTTCGACTACCCCTGGTGTGATGATGAATCCAAGACTTATCCATCTAACTGGCATTTTACATAAAATAAAAAATAAAAAAAGTTAGAATATCAATTATAAACAAGTCATTTGACCTTAGAAAGAAAAAGAAAAAACATACAGATGGCCAGAAAAGAAGAAAAAAAGCATACAGATGGCGAATATTGAAAAAGAAGCCAATCACAAAAAGTTATATTTCAATATTCACAGTTACAATCACTTTGGCGCGACAAATATTCCACCATCATTTTAAAATCACGTCAATCACAAAAAGTTATATTTCACACACAAGAAAACACTTTTACCCTGCAAAATCTCCAAATCTCTATTACCCAAGAAGGAAAATAATAGGACCTACTTTCTACTGAAAAAATGACTAAGATTAACCTGTTGATATAAGATTAGTTTAGGTCTCCCTTGCTTAGATGATATAAAAGGGTAGCAATATAACCTATTTAAATGAAATTATTTAAAGAAACTGAAAATATTCTGCAAAGGAAAGAGGGAAAAAAAGAAAAGAAAAGAGAAAAGGCTTAGAAAATAGTCCATGGGTAGGTTTGACCACAATGATTGGATAATGATTCATAATAGGTTAAATAACCAGTATTTTACAAATTATGTCAGGCATGAAAGAGTTCAAGCACTAAGAAATCTGCATGTTCACTCGTGTGAATGTGTGTGAGTGCAAGAATGCGTAATTGTGTCTGTTAGAAAGAGATACATAATAACCATCACCAACCCCACGAGAGGTAATAATTGTAATCAATCATAAGTCATAACACAACAAAACAGAACAAGCAACTCATAAAACATGAAAAGCATCTGGGACCTTTATGGTAAAACTAAAATTAACATACACAGACAATAGAGGAGGTGGTAATACAAACATAAGTTTCCACTAACCTTGTGCAAAACAATGTCAAAACGACCTTGATCTGAGAGAGGTCTATTTTGGTCGATAGCAACAAATAAAATTCCCTTGTTCTTGCATGGAACCATTTATGCAATTAGATTCTTATTGACGATTGAAAACAAAGAGAAATATAGTGAATATGCTAAAGGTGGATTGAATTATACAGGCACCGTTATCTTAATGTATACAATGAAAATCTTTAAAAATAAATAAATAAATAACCCAAAATCATAGAATAAAACAAGAATCAATATTTACTCTTTATATATTATTATTATTATTATTTTGCAATAAAGATTCTTTATTTAAGGAGATGATATCTACACTCCAATTGTCTGCAAAAGTCGACATGCACCTTCTGTCTTATTTTTTTTTTTAAGAAAATAACAAAAGCTTTCTTAATTTCATTTTTACTTAGATTACCTTTTTTACAAAGTTAAACAGTAATACCATCTTCTTTAATAAAGTATATTTATTGAACAGTACTAAAGTATTTTAATTGAACAGTAATGTCATATTCTGACAGTCGGGTTATCTCACGGGTTTATGTAGATCCCCATATCATATGATAATCGGGACAACTAACTCGCAATAAAAAGAATTATTCTTTATTACATCACGCGTTTAGGAATTCTGGGATGACATAACTGTTGAAATTGTTCCCACTCAAGATAAGGTAATACAAGTTTGTAAAGGAACCTATTCCCTCGGGAATTTGACCCATTAGTTGGCAATTACATGCATCAAATCTGTGAAGGGAACTAGAAAGATTTCCAAAAAATCTGGTAAGAAGCCGCCAACTGGATTATTACATATAGACAACCTTTTCAAGGATTTCAAGCTTGTCAAAGAAGTGAGAAAACTAAGTTCCTGACTTCTCGGTTCTATACTTAACTGGTTATTCTCTAGATTAAGTGTTGTCAGTGATTCTAAGTGGCCTAGACTGGCGGGTACTGTTCCAGTGAATTGGTTGACACCTAGACATAAATCAACGAGCATAGAAAAATTGGACAGATAGGAAGGGATGTTTCCACTGAGTTGATTTGCTCCAAGGGTAATAAATTCAAGATTAGAAGGCCAAGAAGTACTGCTCAAGGGAAGATTTCCGGAAAAGTCATTACTGTCTAAATGAACTCGTTGGATAGAGGAGATGTTGAATAAAAATGGAGGAATCGACCCAGTGAGATAATTTAAACCGAAAAAAATTACTTCCAAACTTGGAACATTACATATCTCATTAGGAATATTGCCATGAAACTTGTTAGCTTCCAAACCAAGACACTTTAAGCTTGTCATGTTAGCAAAGAAAGATGGAATTGTACCTGTGAGGTTGTTTCGGCCTAGAAAAAGCACACTAAGACTAGACAAGGTACTCAATTCCTTGGGTATGCTGCCAGTAAATTCATTCCTTGCCATAGATATGAGTTGAAGCTGTCGGCAATGGTGTACACTTGCAAGGATCACCCCTTCCAAATAGTTAAACTCTATATTGAGTACTTTCAAGCGACGCAAATGACTAATCTGGTGAATAAGTTGACCATGAAAATTATTACGACTAAGATCTAGCATCTTGAGAAATGAGAGGTTACCCACGTGAGGGGAGATGGTGCGTTGGTGGTCGATTGGTGGTGTATCGGGAAAATATCAATCAATCAATCAATCTCACCATTTGATGATAATATAAAATTAAATATTTCTCTCTTACTGTATAGTGCCTATATTTTCTTTTTCCTGCGTACTTTCTATAATAATAACAAAGGAAATTTTTTATAAAGACAACATCAATTTTGAAAACTACATAATCTCTTAAAACCAGAAACAGCTAATTCATAATAGAAGTGCAAAAATTAAAACTAAAGGGATACATTATTAATGCATAATAGTAGTACACATGCACTTATGTGGTGAGTCCATTAAAATGGCATTTTTCCATTGAGCTAGGCTTGTGTTGTACGTCCTGCGACTAGAACAAAAAAGATGGAGTTTTAATAATTCATCGGTCCTCAGCAAAAACTAAAAAAGGCACATAAAATAAAAAATAAAAATTGGAACCAGTAGAAAATCAATAATTCATCGCTCCTCAGCAAAATAAAATCCACTGTAATAAAAGATGGAGTTTCAATAACAACTTTTTTCCAAGATTGGGTCACGCCATATCCCTCCATCACCATTAATATTACGACGACTCAGCACACAAAGGCCTCCTCTAAACACCCTAATTCTATTGGAAACTTGTAATGTAATATGTGATTTCAACTAGATTATTTTTTTTGAACAAATGTTCATCAACTGTCAATCAAATTACATGGTGTAAGTTCACATGGATAATTAAAACCTTGGGATTTCATTCTAAACTCAAAATAGCCTACAGGTTAATATAATTTCTCAGAAAAGATGGAAGACCATGTAATTATGGTAAATCATTTTACTTTGAAAAAAAATATTTTCTTATAACAGTACCATGTACCCACACTACGATTATTATTTTGGTTATGAGAGAGAAGCTTTGTCTGATTTTGTGCGAATTTTCATCACAAGAACAAGAAGGGAAATTAGGGTTTAAAGTACTTACAACTTACAAGAGCCCAACCCTTCAACCACCACTGTCCAAACCTCCGATGCACCACCAATCGACCACCAACGCACCACCCGCACCACCAATCGACCACAGACGTCGTGCTCTTCCCTAAGCCACACCTCGCACACCACCAAGACCAGATGTCGTGGGTAAGAAAGAAGAAAGGAATCACGATATGAAATATAACCTAAACCCAAAACCTGCTATATTAGGGAAAAATAATAATAAATAAAATAATAACAATTAAAAGAAGGATGCTTATTGGTTCAGATGCTTATTGAGAAATTCCAAGGAT